TAAAATATTACTACAGTTAAATGATGTTATGAATTACGATACAATAAGAGAATACTTAGTTATGCATACAGTATCTGTTCCAAACATTATAACCACTTATGATGTTTATAACATCTTGTTAGCCGTACCCGCCATGGGCGGCCTAAGCTGATACAGCATTCGCGGTAACACCGGGATGACTAGCGCCCGGCGACGGCCTTTCGTAGAGATAAGGACTTAGTTAGGAACATTGTATTAGATTTATTTATTTAATAATTTTTGTACGCACAGTAAGTTGGACAAGAAAAATAATACAACAATTAGGTACAAAAGCACAGCCTAAAATTAATTTATTTTAGTTTAAATAAAATTATCTTTAAGACTTGGTTTCTTTTAAAAAAAAAATCCTTCGGCAGCACCTCCGGTACTCATCTACCTACTTAGTAAACATTTTGTCTTATGTCTGATCTCAAAGTCAACAACTATACCATACCATACCCTTACTAGAGTAACATATTACAAAGTTTTTTTTTTTACTTTATTATCGGCACATCTCGTCTATTTATTGAGAAAAGTAGAAAGCGCAAATGAACTAATAGGAATCATGCGTGTAAGTTCCAGATGGATGAGGGCGAATATGATGAGGTCAGGCGACGGCAGCCAGAAACTCCAGTAAGGCGATCGGTACAACTGGAGGGGCGGAGTACGAGAGCTCGTGAGGATGAGCGTCGCAGTCGAAGCCGAACGAGACACGAAGGCCGGCGAGGCATTACCCATCATTTGCGGAGCAGGAGTCGGAGCACACGTGAAGCAGGGGGTGGACGGCTCGGGCGTAGTCGTTCCCGCCGCCGTGAATCTTATGACGATGACGATTTACGCCAGAAGCTACGGCTCTTGGAGGACCAGTTGCTGAAGCGCAATGAACAACGAAGGCGCGACGAAGCGACGACCAATTACCGGCGGTCAACTAGTCAAGCGCGGAAAATATACACCCCTCCTCGTAGTGATGCCAGGAGCCCCGAACACAAGAAACCGATGTACTCTGATCAAGTAAATTTCTTTGAAGAGTTCACTAAGTTTTTTAAGGGCAAGGATCGTGAATCGTTTCTGTCGTCTTCAATGAACAATGTCATTCCAGAATTTGATCCACTCTTAAGAGAACAAACAATTGATGTATGGTTGAACAAAGTAGACGAGTGCGCGGAGATTTATAACTGGAACGACAAGCAAACGGCTCACTTTGCCCTGCCCAAATTGACTGGACATGCTAAAACTTGGTACCAGGGCTTACCTTCTATTAAACATTCGTGGTTAGAATGGAAGCGTATACTACGTGAATCTTTCCCGTCAACTGAAAATTTCGCGGAATTACTGACAGAAATGCTTAATAGAAGGACACGCCCTGGTGAATCTTTAGAAGTATATTATTTTTCAAAAATCAACTTGCTCAACCGTTGTAAAATATTTGGGAAACAAGCAGTGGACTGTATTGTATTCGGAATAGAGGATAAAGGTGTCCGCTTAAGTGCACAAGCCGGGAAATTTGACAAACCCGAAGATACATTAGAGTTCTTTAAAACAGTTAAGAATTATCAACCACGAGACTTGCGTGATTTTAGGAGGGATACTCAGTCGAAGGTTACGCGCCCCTCAAGCGTTACCAGTATCGCTCCGAGAGTCAATGGTGCGGTTAGGAGTCAACCTAAGGGAAACTTGACGTGTTTTAACTGCAACGATCCTGGGCACATGAGTTGGCAGTGTCGTAAACCTTTGAATAAATGTACAGATTGTAATTATTTAGGCCACAATTCAAACGATTGCCCAAAGAAATCGAAAAGTAGCAACTAAGTATAAAATAGATGATTTGGTTAGGGTAATTAGAAACGTTATAGGAGGTACAGGAAAATCAAAAAAAGTTAGAACCCAAATGCCAAGGGCCATACCGAATCAAAAGTGTACTCCTTAACGATCGATATCTCATTGTTGATACGCCGATTACGCGGAAGGGTAGGCCATATGAAAATGTGGTGTCCGTGGATAAAATATTCCCTTGGATGTATTTTGATGCCCCTGCTTGTTCCTCAAGTGACGATAGTGACAACTAATTTTAATGATTTGAAGATAAACATGATTGTTATTGATTATAGAGATTGTGATAGCTTTGTATTGATTATATTAGAATTCGATAATGTAGAGATGTCATAAGAGAAGTAGTGATTGTCTACATGACTCAGAGCTTGAGCGGACGTAAGCCGAGCGTGAGAGTTATGAATGGCAAACCTCATCAATTGGGTAGTGAAAGAATAGAAGTAACTATCCTTTGATGAGCTATAGTGATAAGGTGATGCGAGTCAATTGGGTAGTGAAAGAATAGAAGTAACTATCCTTTGATGAGCTATAGTGATAAGGTGATGCGATTCAATTGGGTAGTGAAAGAATAGAAGTAACTATCCTTTGATGAGCTATAGTGATGCGACTCAACTGGATAGTGAAAGAATAGAAGTAACTATCCTTTGACGAGCTACAGTGAGATTATGATAGCGATAGTGATTGTTTGGTGAGATCTAGGTATGTATCTATATTTGTAGTGAAACAACAAAAGTAGCACTCCTCGCATATATCATTTACTTTGTGAATTAGAATAATTGTAACGTTCAGATCTGATTGTAAGAAAACTTGTTAGACTTGTAAGTAATTATTTTATGATCGGTATTTAGTAATTTGATTGAAAACGTTATTGTTACGATAGGTACGCAACATAATTTGTATTATAAATTTTATTTTTTTCTTGAGTTATGAACGAAGGGACTCGTTACTGTGACGGATGGCCGACTGTAACGTTCAATCGATTAATCGACTTATAGTAGTTATGTCACGTCATCAGTTTTGACAGTTGAGCCTGTGTTGTCTATGAGCGAGCGAGAGGGAGATTCGAATTTTGGCGCCAAGCGTGGCAGTGTGACGCGAGTATTGTAAAAATATTAATTATAAAAGTTTGTGTTCCACCAATTGTCGTCTTTTGTTGAAGATTTCCCTGAGCTGTGTTTCATTAGGCACCGTTAAAGAGGCTTCCGAGTTAAATGCCTATAAATCGATTCCATAGATATGCTTATTCTATCTCCAAATTACTTATTTTTAAGTGCGAACTGGATATAATAAACACCAAACACTAAACTGCACAATTTACCCACAAGAAAATTTTGATCAAATATACCATACAAAAAAATTATATACATTGCTTCCTAGCAGTGGAAATTAAAAGTCCGTTAGCAAATAAACAGAGCAATGGATGTTGAAATACCATAAATTTCTTTTGTTATAGAACTTAACAGTTTCGATGCACAGTTTTTTAATCCTTTGCATGTTTTATTTGATTAAATCTTAACTACGTATACCCTTGATCTAGTGATTGTAAGCGTGTCTGCAAGGCTATGCAACGTGCTTCGATTTCAAGCAATACTTATAAAATTTGACAATTGTTTCATTAGGTTGCCCCAAAAACGTTTTCTGTTCCTTAGCAACGAAGCTACATGTAGTAACGACGAATTTGTATGAAACTATTAGGCGACTAGAACTTTACTTAATTATTAAGCACATTGTAGCGATTTCACTCATTTTTAATAGCAAAATTCCTCTGCATTCAACATTATCAGGATTGCGTGGAATCTGACACGACTCCAGATCACATATTACAAATAAAATATACCCAGAACTTATCCATACATACAAAGAAGATTAACTATCAGACAGACATTTTGAATGGGAGCCAAAAAGCCTAAAATATTTTAATACGAAAACGATCCCTATTCCCAAGGACGAAAGACTAACGCAAAGTAGCGTTTCATTAAGAATCCCATATCTGGGCTATTTTTTATGGATAGCCTGTATAAAAACTGTGTGGGAACAAAACGGGGATGCGGCTAGCATTCGGCCTGCTGCCAACTATATGGGGGCGTGGCTCTTTAACTGGCATCTCTGCCTACCCAACTTGTGATAGTCTGAAGTCTGAATATGGCACTTGAAGCATTCATATGCCTAATTGGCCTCATTCGGGCCTGACTCGTCTTTGACTAGCAAAACGAACGAACGAACGGTAGGTTGGGTACGAAATTCTCAGTTCTACGACACATTCTTACAAATGTGTTGTTAGAGACTTGAATATAAAATATCTTCTCTTCATAGCTCATTTAATTCACCAACTCAATATAATATAAATAGTTAACTAAATAGAATGATAATACTTTTAATCGATAACAAAGATCGGCCTCTATGAAATATCATTGACGTTTAACATAAAAACTTTACATTTCAATGAGCACAGTGCACAATTTGACATAGTTTCGTCGTAGCTCGAAGACATTGTAAAGTAGGACATAACCGCTGTCATATTTGTAGGGTTTAGTAACCCTAGCGAGGATTAGCTCACGGTAATCTACGTCCACTACAAACGTACATATTAATCTAACCACTTCACGTCAAAACTACTACAAAGGTTACTTACAAGTCAAGCGGTCGTCCATCCACCTAAATACGAGTGAACCCAAACGCTTTAGTAAATCTGTTTCTAATTACACAGGCTCATCAAATATTCCATCGATAATATTGGCTCGTACAACTTCGTTGGCAGAAGGCCACACATCATACGAACTTCATCAAATATAGAAAGCTTCTAAAAACAATAAGGAGATTGATCAATACGCGCTCTCACATGCGACCGTGTGCTGTTGACAGATGGACTCTCGCCATGTTACAACCTCCACGAGCGACACAAGGCTCGTTATTTTCCCATTAAACCACAATATCACACCTCCCTTTATTCGGAGAGGAAATACAAAAACAATTTCCACTCGCTCGGATAACGATCCGATCGATAAAAGCGAAACTGGAATGCGATTACCATTAACAAGTACTGGCTTTACAACCTTTGTTGTCACGATTACGTTGCACAGCCCCGAGCCCCGAGCTCTACTAGCTTCGGGCTACTGGCTGCCGGGGCAAGCTAATACGTGTAGGGTACTCACAGTGCAGTCGTGTGGTGTGGCGGGTTACATGGGCTCCAGGACACAGCACGGGACTTAGTTCGTGGAACAACAGATGCACCTCGTCGTGGCCACTCCGAGATCAACTTGCGTAACATTTATATAACGAGACACTGCTGGGAACAACACCGCTCGGTCAGAGGCGGACTCGCGCGCGGCCCCGGACCCTTCGTCCTGCCATTTTGGTATCGACGGGCACGACTCGTAACAGCGGAGATGGCGATGAGGCCCGCCGGGCGCGGGTTGTGGTCGCGTTCACGTTTCGAGCGGGCTTTTGTGTGAAAATGGAGATGTCACAGCGGTGGTTACGTTCGGTGGGAAAATAAAAAAGTGTGAATCGGTCGGGCGGAGCGGTCGACCGGCTGCGAGAGGCACATGCCGCTCGATAGTCGGGCGCGTGCGCGAGGCGCGGCGCGCGTCACTCGCCGCACTTGCGCCGCCCGGCCCGCCTCAATGGACCGCCGCCGCCGTCGCCGCTGCCTCACCGCTCCACCGACACCGCACTACGCAGCCTCTCTTTCAGTAGGCCTACTACGCCCGACCCACTCACGATACGAATTAAGGTCACTATGAAATCCGGAGCTGTTTCAATTCTTGATTCGGTTGTAGGTGCTGGACGGTTTTGCATACTGAAGTTGGTGGGCTTAATCTAACTCAGTGGGTAATAAATACCAGATGTTTCGACCTAATTTTCTTATCTTTAATTTCCTTTATAGATTTGTAAAAAAAAATTAGATCCAAAACCGAGGATGATAACTGAACAAGATGGTTAAAAAGTAGTTAATTAATCACCCGACTTAACCATTCCTGACTGGCTAAGGTCGATCTAAATTATCTGGATCGATCTGAACTGATGTCAAAAATCGATCATAGTCTACGGATTTCGAATTGAGATAGAATTATTTATTGATATTAACTTTGGCCGTAAGATATTTTCTCAAACCTTAGTGGAAGCCACCCTAAGATCATTGAACCTTCTGCCCATCCCCGCAGCGTAAATATCTCGAGCCAGTTCATTATTTGGCTATCACTCACTCGGACGCTGTCTATAACGTAATGAAGGTTTTGACAACGACCAATTTATATCGCCAGATCATTGCTACTCTATATGACATTTGAATACTCTCTATAACGGACTATATATATTCACACTATTGCAATATTGTGACTGTTTCGATCTTTTATTTAAAAATGGAATGCAGCTGTTGACAGTACCTACATGATTATTACCAACCTATTTCAAATTAAGAATTTTTAATGTCAAGCGTGGGTGTTTTCGTTTGAATAAAGAACACTAAACGACTTTGACGCCATTTTTTTTATTTTAAATACATCTTATTAAAAGACTGACTTAAGAACGGAGACTGAATAAAAATTTAATTAATTTTCTAAATTGGTACTTACTGCCTTAGTTCTGCATTGACATCCATCTCCAACACCATCAGTCTTCGGGAATTCTTCATCTATGTAATAATTTTTATCATCTTGCACAAAATTACCACTTCCATTATTAACATCGTCGATATTGTTTTTTGTAACTAGACCATCACTATCCAAATCAATATAAAAAACACTTTTTTTCTCAAAACCATTTTTATCGTCAACTGTCTTTTTATTTTCAATTTCCCTCCAATTACTCGGCAAAGTGTCAGATTCGAACGTTTTATTTTTAAATTTAGTACATGTTAGAATAAGTAGAATTCTTTTAAAAATATTTCGAATGATATTCTTTATTGCCAGCCAATACCGTTGCATTGTTTTGTTCGTTTAGTTAGTGAATGAATGACGTTGATCAAATTAGCTTATCGGATCGAATGATAAATAATTAATAAGCCCTTCTGTCTCGATTTATTGTTTTCCGGGAATCAAGTTATTATTGTTTTCATTAAGCATTGATATTGTTTTTATTAGTTTTCGTATTCAGTTTTAGCTTGACTGTTACAGTGTTATGTTAAGTGGTACTTATATCAGAAAACATTGCCATCGGAAGTTTAAAATGTTTTTAACGATGACAGAACGCAACTAACCGAATTCAAACAAAAGAAAAACAAGTTAGGAAAATAAATCAATTAAAAAGCTGTTCTGAACAAATTCTATTTCCAAAATGACTCAGAGACCACGTAAATCCCATCTAAGTTGCTGGACGAACAATCATATGAGTCACAAGTCTGAGAACCCTTTTTACGATCATTATTCAACTTTAAAATACGCCACACGGAAAGAAAAACTAACCAACTTCAGATTACCACAACTATAGTGGTCACCATAACCTAATTTGATAGCAACTATGGTTCTCTTAACCATCAGTTCCATCATCAGAGGAAAGAGATGGAGCTATATGTATAGCTCCATCCCTCATTCTCGCCCGGAAGATTCACGATTTAACACGTCATGGTAGACCTACTAGACACCTGATTTTAAATTGAAGTCAATCTTTGGAATCGTTATATGAACAAGACGGTTGAGTCATTAGGGTAGCGAAAAACTCAATGACAATTATCAGAGATCTAGAAAGGGTCAATCTAAAGATTAAATAAAAAAAAAGTCAAAATCGATAGTAAAATTTATATAATTATATTTGACTATTTACAATATGTATACCTATAAAAATATAACGATTTGGCTTGTTACGTATAAGCATAATATTGTAACATTGATATTTATAGTACAAAATTATAAAAAAATATGATTAGGGAGTGCCACAGTACAGTGAAGATTGGTATCATATTAGGTATACATATATTTTCTCAAAACTTATCAGAAATTATAGAAACGCCTAAATATTTACAAAGCAGTGTCTAAACGTATATTTTTTTTTAATACGGTAACGTTCAACGACAATAATTCACGTTTTACGTGTCAGAATGTTTTACAAAAATCTTTTTATACATACAGTATAATATATCACACGAACCCGAAACCGCACTTTTATGAGTATTCAAAATACATAATTCACAAAATTGAGCAAAGAAAGTAATTACAGTACAATAAAAAAAAATTAACTATCTAAAAACATACAAAATGGTCCAAAATGAGTCATTCTAATACTAAGCGTACAAGTTTTATTCACAACCTGTAACTTGAAAGATATACACAAAATTCAGAAAATTACAACAGAAATTCGTCAAAACAAAAAGCTCAAATTCTACAATACTTATTATAAAAAAAAATACAAATATATGACAATATAAAAAATCTTACAAACTCTATCGAATAGAAAAAAGTTTACATTTAATTTTTAAATTCATTCTATGAATATTCTTTTTTTTAATTGCTAAGCATTACTCTTTACAACCAAATGTTATGTCTCTACCAACATCTATAAAAATGAAAGAGACAGAAAGACATTCTAAAGTTTTATCAGAATGCATTGCATATATTTTATTGCGACTTCAATAACCGATTAGTTCTTTAAGGGCTGATTTTGAAATAGTTCGATAAAAGTTATCTGCGGAATAATTAAGATGCTATCGCGGCAGAATGTTTGTATAAGACAGTGACAGCGACAATTTTATCCCTTAGATAATATTCATCTGAATATTGAAAAATCAGCCCTAACAAATGATTTTGGAAATTTTGAACTAAGACTGTTTATTGAAATCGCAAATTAGTCATTAAAGGTAATAAACAATAAGATTGAAAATAAATAGAGCAGATATGACAACCACCTAGCTTCGACAAAGTCTTATTCAATACTTAAAGGTAAAATAGTGACCAGCATTTCAAACTACTCTTATTTTGCTTAATTCCTTTACTAAATTTTCAACTTTATTATGCTTTATGTAAAATTGAAAAACGAATAAAAACATAGTGTAGGTTGACCTGCTGGCAACTGTACGAGAACATTCTAGAAACAGAAGATGAGGAAACGAAGCTCTCAGGTCCCTAGCGCGGCATGAATATAAAACTATCAGTCAATGTCCAAGCTCTTGAAACTACTGGTGAAGCTGGCGAACATACCTTTACTAGGCTTCTTAATCCTCTTCTTCTCATCAGCCTTGAAGATCTCCGTCTCAATAAGCCACTCTCTGTAATTTTCCTCCATATTTTTCCTCTGTTCTTCATGCAGTTGCTTGACTGGAGGTAATGGACCACCAAAGTCTTCGGGCAAGAGTTCCTTATCTACCACAGACTCTGGTCCTTCGGAGGAGAAGTTCAGTAGGTTGAGGAGATTCGAGTGGATGAGCGGCTTCACGAGGCACATGACTTGGTTGATGAATGATACTGTGTGGACTACGTGGATCTTCTTTAGACGGCAAGGATGGGCGTTCTGGAAGAACAGTAAGATTTAGGTATTCATTTTGTTGCTACGTAATACTTTAGAAAGTAGAAAAAGACATTCAAATGTAAACCAGCCGAAATTGTTGTAGAGCCATGCTTCGGCCTCACAGAAAACCAGCGTGAAACAACCACAGCGTGATGTTTCGTCGTGTGATTGAGGTTACCGGAGACCCTCGCCCTTCCCATCCCTTCCCAATCCTTAAATATGCGAAACCCTTATCCCTAAAAGACCGGCAACGCACTTGTAACTCCTTTGGTATTGAGGGTGTACTTGGGCGGGGCTGATTGCTTACCATCAGAATATCCATCCGCTCATTTTGCGACCTGTACCACAAAAAAAAATTAAACACTCTCAAGCTGCATTATTCCACTATGGTTACTTATTGGCACTACATTTCAAAGACAACCTTCTACTTAAATAAAAGACTACCAACCTGGATATAATGCATAAAGGCTCTCAGCGCAGGAAGAGTCACCCTGGTCAGGTGACCGAGGCTGCAGCCCTTCATATCGAAGATGACAATGTAGCCATCAGACAGCCTGTCTTCTGACAACTTGACATCGTTGAACATGCAGAACACACGGACAGCATCAGCGAAGTTCAGCTTACTGTAGTCAAACTCAGCCAGCCGGTACAGCAGGACGTTGTAACCTTCTGCAGTCTTGTTTGGAAAGCCTACCATGTGCCTGGAAATAATAGGAAGATATTAGTATAACATCTTTATAGCAATCTTCAGTCATTAAGGAAACTGGGGCTTTATGAGTGGTTTCTATGGACCTTTAATATTGTTTGAGCGATAAGTAAAAAGAAAACGATTTAGTACGGCGAATTTTCAAGGACAACTTCTAAGTATTTCGCATTTGGTCCTTATTACTGGACTTTATACTAGGTATACCTTATATATATACTTTTACCCTATTAAAACAATTTGTGAATTTTGAAGCTTAGTTCTTTGTTTGTCAATGTAGCAGCATTAATTAAAAATGCGTTAATTTTGTGGATTATTGGGAATTAGGGGATTGGGGATCAGAAGAGGAAGAATCGAGCCTCCTGCAACCTCACATACACAGCAAAATACAACGCTACAAAAAACGTCTTGTTTGTAAAGATGCGAAGGCACACCCGCACTTGCAAAGTCATTTCAAAATTGTAACATGACTAGCCTAAATTAGCAAAGAATCCCATCCTTCCCTTAAGTTCCTATGCGGACTATAATGCCCTCTCAGACTATACACCGCTCATCTAAAGGTATGATGTTAAAATGCCTTTACCTTGTTAAAAGACAAATGAAACTATTGAATAGAGAGATATATAATGAGGAGATAGGTAGACAAGATATGAAGCTGAATGCCCATCGCTTTCTATAGCGGCTGGAGATCTGATACGATGAATGAATAGCTTTTGATTCTAATGACTGGTGTGACCTTGATTACAGATTTCTATACCACATTAGCGGATGCAGCTTTTGTTTGCCATCGTAGATCCTTGAGTTGCAGTGTCTTGGAATATGTTATTGTCACTGACTTGGCCTAAAGAAGGTTATGTAGGGAACTGACATTGTGTCTGGATCCATTGAATGAGGTATCGATTACAGTCATATGTTAGTAATAGATATCTTCTTGTTTATAGAAGTGGTTCGCAGGGTCAACTTGTTGTCATGTAATATACCAAAGCCTCAGCTTGAAGTAGAAGAAGGGACGGATTGTTTTTAGTCAGTAGGAGCCTGATATTCCATCTCACTCCACTCAGGGCGAAAAAAAAATGATTATGTTCCGCTTCAAATAAAAACTTTTTGTTAAAATCATGTCCATTCTGTAAATTATAAACTTATCAACATCGTGTCCCATTAGTCCAATATTAGGATAAGCACAACATTGTATTAAAGTACACTTTTTCTGCCTTTCTGTCCGTCTGTTTGTGAAGCTAAATCTCTTGAACCTTGACAGCTATACAATTTAAAATCTTGGACATGTACCTATTTCTAATGTCGCTATTTCAAGAAGTACTGAAAACAATATAAAAAAATGTGGGAGAGTCATGCTTCGGCACGAATGGGTCGGCTCGACCGGAGTGATACCACGGCCTCACAGAAAACCGGCGTGAAATAACCAGAGTGTTGTGTTTCGCCGTGTGATTGAGGTTACCGTAGGCCCAATCCTTCCCCTTCCCCAATCCCTCCCCAGTTCCTAAATCTCCAAATCCATAATCCCTAAAAGGTCGGCAACGCACTCGTAACTCCTCCGTTGCGGGTGTCCATGGGCGGCGCTGATTGCTTACCATCAGGTAATCCGTTAGCTCGTTTGTCGAACTATTACTTAAAAAATAAAATAAAAAATCTTCAGGGCCACCCATACAATTTATGCCGCTAAAGAAATCACACATGATTTTGTAAAATCTATCAATAAAACAACAAGTAATTAACAAAACAAGGTAAACTATATTGTGTGTAAATTTTAAACAACACGATATGACCTGCATTGTTATACTTTTAAATTACTAACGTAATAGGTGCTGGGTACTTCGGTTCAAGTAAACCAAGTAAGTTAGCCAATTGCAATATATTTTCTACGGTACTGCACTTACTGGCCAAATTACTGAACAATGCACAACGTTAACATTAAGTTACTTCATTAAACTAATTAAAAGTTAATTTAAGACCGGTTGGATGTATAGACTGAACTGTTTTCTCGACTTCTTTTGGCAATTGTGTGCATAAAACTTTTAGTGAACTAAATATCACTTTATACAGAGCAAGAAAAAGCACACAAAGTGTGTGCGTTGGCGTTACCTTCCACTCCAATAACTATATCTCTTACTAGGTAAACTCGCGCGGTTTCACCCGCTGCTCGACTCCATTTGATCGTAGCGTGATGTTTTATAGCCTATAGCACTCAGGAACATTGTAGCTATCTATCAGTGAAAGAATTTTGGCAATCCGACCAGCGGTTCCAAAGATACCCCCTACATACAAACTTACAAATTTTACCTCTTTACAATATTAGTATAAAAAAACCTGCATCAAAATCTGTTACGAAGTTTCAAAGATTAAAACATACATAGAGACATAAGGACAGAAAAAGCTTTCTATGCTATGTAGTGATTAATTATAAAAATGTATTGTTACTTGGAACTAAAACTCTGTTCCTATAGACTTACGAAATGCTCAAGGAATATGAAAAAATATCGACTTACGTGATGTCCAAAATAGCTTTGTTCTTCGGTGCGAAAGGATCACGGTTAGTGAACAGATCTGGAGTGTTCGCCCTCAAGGTGAAGTAGCATTCTATGGTGTCTTTCGTCTCCTTGACCTTGTAGTAGTTGGAATGCAGGAACAGGATCACGTACTCGTCAGAAATGTGGGGCAGATGCGGCTGACTTTTCATCCTGGAATGTAATAGGTACAATTTTTGAGTACATCGTCAATTTTAAAAGGGTATTTATTGCGGGTCTGTAGCTGGAGAACGAACGGCGTGGTTTTTGCCAGTAAAGAGTCTGACACTCTCGCCTCACCCTGTGTAATAAAAGTCAACGAATTTCTAACCAGAAATGGCGGCCACACAGCAAACAATAAAATACCAGTTTATCACGGTCTCGCTTTCTATGATATTTACGCACATTCAACGGCCAGTTTATATTGGTTTTTGTAGCTCGATATACTTACACCAGTTTTATTAATATAAAAATCATAAAGCTGTAGAGTTTGTTTGCTCGTTTGTTTGAACCAGGAAATATTATTTATTTCCATTTTTATAATTATCAACAATTTAACTGAACAATTGTTCTAAAAATAAGAAAAATACATCGCGTTGGGGGACTGTAAAAGAAAGTGATCTCAGTAGGTATTTTTGTCGTGTTTTTTTTAAATTTTTATTTACTAAGTAATCGTTGGGCAAAATCACTTTGACACCTACCCATAGAGACGGCGCGTAGCGTTCCGCGCGCGCCTCAAAGAGCCAATAGACCACCACAGACGGGGCCCTAAAGGGCTGATGTTCAGCCGGGGTGGCGGGGTAAGCGAAACGAGGCACCGCGACCTCGGCCCAGAGCAGGAGAAGGAACAGGGGGGTTTTTAGTCAGTAAGAGTCTGACACTCCCTCCCACCCGGCCCTGGGCGGGAGAAGTCATTTGATGATTTCCCTTCACAAAAAAAAACCTACCCATAGAGAAGGAGGGTGTAGTACAAAGCTTTTAATAATGACCCCCATAGTTCAGACTAGACGTCATTATAAACAGACTAAGATCAGTCTAGACTAACAAAGAGATAGAATTTCCCTTTCTAGTAGGTACTTACTTAAGATAAAGATGTTTACTATGGTCTTGTCCTATTTTATTTATAATCTTCGTTTGCCCATTTAGAAACGGATGACGTCCGAGTTCGAAAATTAAAAACCTATTTATTACATCATTACAATGAAACCATATTACACATATGCTTGTTTCTATTTTGTCATAAGAAAACGATTTTTAATAAGTAGATAATTTTAATTTTAATTTTTATATAATTAAAGAAATTATATTAAAGATTATATTATTATACATATAAGAATTAAATTAAAGTGTGCACACACGCAACTTCACTGGTTAGATAACATGTGATTAATCATGACTTCGCGCAATATTTCAAATCGGTATGTAAGTATACCGTCGAAACCATTTGATACCATAAGAAATGAAAGAATGTGTATTAAAAAAATGATTAAAATTGGACCTGAATGCATATATCTATTAAAAGTAAAATGTAGGGCCTGTTTCACAATATCTGAATAGCCATAACAAAAAATATATATAGAACATAATTTGTATGAACTACGTGCCACGTCAATAACTATACGAAGGAAGGTGATGAAAGAGGCAATTAAAATAAAATGCAAAAAGATCTATAAAATTGTAAAAGCGCAATTTACAAAAAATCAGACAATAGACAAGTACCATGAACTGTTAGCAAACAGGTGAAATAGGGCCGCCATTTTGTAACCGCATTGTCATAAAAAACGCGAGGGCAACGGCATGTACCTATACAGCCTAGTTATTAGAAGTCGATTGCAAGTTGATTACTCTGCGTTGGTAGCGTGCACAGAGTGCATAGATTGTATCATATTATAATTTGTATCATGTGAATGTTTATTGCTACTTCTGTTGACTTTCTACCTTATCGGTCGTGAAATCATGGCTGCCGAATAATCATATTTTTTAAAGCGTTCTATCGAATTTAAAGAAATTATTGTGAGCAAATAAAACCGCCAATCCACCTTCAGCAAGCGTGATTGTTAATTATTAAACCCTCTAAGAGTGAAAAACCTTTGCTAAGCAGTGAGCATTTTTAGGCTGATGACATCTTCGACTGCCGATTATAGATGGTGGTCATAAAAGCTGAAGATACATCAAATACACACGTGCAATGTGATCCTCCTACCTACAATTTAAACTTCTTGATGCGGTGGCTGTGCAACCGGCAAGGGACATGTCGCGGTTCCGATTCACGCACGAAACAACTCCTTGTTCAAATTGTTGTTTCGTATGTGTATGTTTGTAAATATAGTTGGCACAGGAGAAACCCCTTCTTTAATTGTTAATCTACTTAGATAAATATGAGTGCGTGTAACTTGAAAATATAGGTATATGTATATACCTACTATAGTCAGAATTTTAATTCGATTCCTAATTTGACATGACCTACTGTCATTTTGTGAAATAATGATACCACATATTATAACAGTGTAGTGATGAACACAAAAATCGATAAACAATCAGTGAATCAGTTTCAGGAAGGCATTCAAAAAATTACGGCTACCGAAGGTCTAAATGCGTATCTCATGTTGTCAAAGAAGAGGAAAACATGAGTAAGCTAGATATGTTAATTGAGAATTAAAATCACAGACACAATTCATAATAAATGTTACAGAAAGTAACAGCGATAGCAATAGCGATGACGGCGACAATTTATAAAATTTCTGTTTTATTTGTCATGTTTCTTCATGATCACATTTTTTATTAATTTCATACACAATTACAAAAGAAAAGACTCAGATCGTTAATTATTTGTCAAAACTAAATTATCTGTTCAGAAATATTTTATTTCCTGATAAACTTAGTTTACGAGAGTAAATTTATAAACGAGAGGAATCGATTCAGAAATATTCGATTTCCACATCGAATAATTTCGCATCATCATCATCATCATCAGCCTATAAGTGCCCACTGCTGAGCAAAGGCCTCTTCTCACACGGAGAAGGTTTGAGCATTAATCACCACGCTTGCTCAATGCGGGTTGGCGATTTCAAACTTACAATTATAAATTATAAGTCCAGGTTTCCTCACGATGTTTACCTTCACCGTATGTCAGTGGTGTCTAAATAATCATAGAAAGTACATATAACTCGGAAAAAGTCACATTGGTACTTGCCAGGTTTCGAACCCACACCCTCATGCATGTGAAGCGGGCTCCTTAACCTCCAGGCCACCACGACATAATTTCGCAACGTCACTATTTATTACGTGTCATAACGTTGCAACACTGAAATTGTCAAATCTGGAATGGAATTAAAATTCCGAGTATAGTATTTATATACAAACTAGCTTCCGCCTGCGTGGTATGTTGGTAAAAAGTTTATGACCTATACCGGAGTGTATCCTATGCCTGTGCCAAATTTCATCCAGAACCGTCCTGCCGTTTTGGCGTGATTGAGTAACAAACATCCAAACATCGTAACTTTCGCATTTATCTTTACTAATAAAAGAGGTAAATTTGTAAGTTTATATGTAGGGGGTAATCTTTGGAACCACTGGTCGGATATCCAAAATTCTTTGACTTATTGATAGCTACAATGTTCCCGAGTGCTATAGGCTATAAAATATCACGCTACAATCAAATGAAGCCCAGTACCGGGTGAAACCGCGCGGGAGTAGCTAGTATTATAAATAAATAGTAAGATTATATGTATTGTAAGGATACTTGCTATTCTGCTATACCTTACTTACACACAAAACACCCAACGCATTATAGTTCACGCTTCAATTAGCATCGCATTCGTAACGCGATTGCATGCCCACGATTCTTATTAGGCACGTTCGTTCCCTTTAACCGGCCACGCGATTCCTTATATCCAGCACACAGAAAAAATGTGCTGGTAAAACTCTGAACTAGTTGTGAACTTGTTGTGAAGTTGCTTCTGTATGTGACTTTGCGTGCATCGATATCTTTCCAATACTAAGCTGTTTTAGGGCTGATTTCAATGGTAAAATAAAAGTTATCTGGGGAATAAATATGATGCTGTCGCGTCGGAATGTTTGTATAAGACAGTGACAGCAACAATTTTATTCCTCAGATAACATTTATCTGACTATTGAAAAATAAGCCCCTAACAATTTCCATTCCGTTTATTCCAAATGCCGAACAAAAATCACCACGCGAAACAAGAACTACTTTGAAAACCATGTAGGTCGTAGTTCAGACGCCAGCACATCAAGCTATCCCTTACCGTCAAAATTCTTTCAGTTTTATTTCAACGCTCTAAGATCTAAATTCCACTAAGAAATTTGACTGATTAGGGTAGTTCAATATGCAGGCTTATTGTTGGTGGTCGGAATCCCGCCCCACATACCTGAGAGGACTTGTCGAGCCATTACCATATTATTGAGAGCCTGCACGAATGCGATGCCGCGCCATTTTATGTATATTTGTAGTTTTTATAAACCTATATAGGTATAGTCCTCTTTGGTAGAGCAAGCGCCCTCTACTAACACGGTTTGTGGATGTTAACAACTTGTCAAAAACGATAATTTTGTTGAAGGTCTGTCAGGTTTATTTGGATAATTATGTAGTTTGATGGTTTTTTGTGTGAGGGGAAATATATCAGATGTCTCCCCCCCCCCCCCTCCCCCTCCCCCCAACGGAGGGAGTGTCAGATTCTTACTGACTGAAAACCCCTCCGTTCCTTCTTCTGCTCTGGGCATGTTGCGCTTGTCCCGTAACCACGGCTGACCATCTACCCTACGAGGCCCCGTCTATGTTGTGAGCTCATAAATTTTTTTCCCTTAAACACGTTGACTTTTACTGTCGTTGTCGCCCAAAGGTTAAGGAGCCCGTTTCTCATGCATGAGGATTCAAAACCTGGCAAGCACCGTTGTGATATTCCGAGTTATATGTACTCTCTATGATTATTTCGACACCACTGATATACGGTGAAGGTAAACATTGTAAAAAAACCTGGACTTATAATTTCTAATTATAAGTTTGAAAACGCCAATCCGCCTTGAAGCTTGGTAATTATGCTCGAACCTACTTTGTGTGAGAAGAGGCCTTTGCTCAGCAGTGGGCACTTATAGGTTTATAATGATGACGAAAACACGTGATATATTTGACTTCTTAATTATATTATTTTTTGTTTCTGCTCTCGTCATTTCAAGGTCTGCTTAACATATTACCATAAGGCAATTGTAACTATGGGTTAAGAAACAATATAAATATTTAGTATTTTAAATTCGGCTTTTAATTCTAAAGTTCGCACTAGAAATACATATAAAATGTCTATTATATAAAGTATAACACTATTAGGTAATTTACGAGTACCTACAAATATTGAACAAAACCGGAACAAAAAATTAACATAGAGAAATTACAGTTCAGCCGTAAATCAAGAGCTTTACCGACGGTCATAGTCACGGGAAAATCAACCTTGTGGTACAAACTTTCTTTAAATAATATTACGCATTATTGTTTGAATTATAGACGCGAGTTATGACATAATACTATTACGTGAACTATACACGGCCTTGTGAAGGGCCTAGTTTGAAAACTGGTTAAACACGTTCTGTATGTCGTAGAAGAGAACCAGAAGATATCTTGAACATAGTAACAGGTGAAACATATAAAAGATTACATCAAAATGAGTTTGGTATGAATGGGCGTTGTTTTAAAAAATGTTCCGTTTATAGGCCAGTGTTAGAAGCAAGAGTCATGACTGTGGTTCTTGGACCGTTGGACTTCTACATGAGAGGTATCAAGTCTCCGTGTTGGTTGGTTATTCCACGCTGCTGTAACCGCGGAGTTTATGTAGTTGCACTGAACAAATTATAATTTTAATGACGGGCATTACAGGATGACAGGACCGGTACTAGAACGGGCGCCATCAGTGAGGTTTTTAAATTTAGAACGGCACCATTTTTATTTCTCGCCCCATTTAGAGGGGGTTGCGCGGCAAAAGCAATAAGATTCCTCAATCCTAGAGCAAGAGAAGGAACGTAGGGAGGTTTAGTCAGAGGGTCTGATACTCCCGCTGGCCATGGGCTAGAGAATTTATTGATTTTCCCCTCCCAAAAAAACCTATTAAAATGTTAATAAAACCGACATAAGACATTCCTCTTACTTCCACAGTATATTAAGAGGTGCTCACCATTCTCTGATCTGCTGTATCTCATCCTCGTGACCTTCGGGCAAAGGTTTTAGTCCACGAAGGAAGGGGTGCAGGTACTTTGTAGCCGACATCCTCGATCGTTCGTTATCTGAAAGAAAATAATATAATAAATGTTAAAAGTCCGTAATAAGATGGTTGGGAGTGGTTGGGTGAGAAGAACTGAACATCGAACTCAGTGATTCACAAATGCCCTATGTCCAGCAACAAACCGACACAGGCTGATGATGAAATATTAAACTCCTTTTGAACTACAGTGTGATTCTGTAAGACTTCATTCTAAACTTCGAATCTGGATCCGCCTTTATTATATAACATTTTGATAGACAAAGAATAAGATGACGTTAATAGTGGCATCCAGTGGCATCCTTAAATATAATTTCCCTGTCACTTCGACGCTCTCTTTACACTCGAACAAGATTCAAAATCAAACAATTTTATAAAATCGACGTGCTAGTTTATTACCACGATTGAAAGGTTAATATGTTTCTCGATAGTTACAAAAATTCACTATTTGTAGTGTAAGTATCTATTGTGAGACATCCTAAATTTACTGAAAATAACGACTTAGGTACTCTCGTGAAAAAACTGAGAAAAGCTCAACCAGTTTCAAGTCACGACGGGACTCTTATTCTTGAGCAGCATCCCGTCACCGCGACGCGGTCTCTTCACAGTTAACGCACGTGAGTAGCTCGCTATTTTCCGTAAAAAAAGTACACATTACTTTTTTTATAAAACTCGAATTATGTGCAAGCGACACCGGTTGGACGTAAACAGTGGTTTCTGGTCATAAATACACGGTTACATTTATGTATACCCGTATCTCGATATTTTTAATTCAACATACTTATATTTATTTTGCATATCATTATATTATAAGTAAAACTAGCTTTTGCTCGCAACTCCGTTCGCGTAGAATAGTGATTTCCTGCAGATTTTTGGTACAAAAACTATCCTATGTCCTTTCTCAAGTTCCAAGCATGTCTATACCAAATTTCACAGAAATTGGTTCAGTAGTTTAGGCGTGAAGAAAAGATAGACAGACAGACGCATTTATAATATTAGTATAGATATCATTATATTATAAGCAAAATAACAAGCCTGTCCTTTAATTAAATCTCTTATTTTTAAAACACAAGAACATTCGACAAAGCACTCAATTTAAAATGTGATAAGGTGTGTTTGTGACTGCATTTTTTCTCGTCCCTTTCAAGGTTATCAATACAATCGTTCTCATATTTTGTGCAGGTAACAATTTGAGTTAAAATAAACAATTCAGGTCCAGAAACATGACTTCCGCAATCTTTATGTTAATCTTTTAGGTATACTTAATAATAAAATTTCAGAAGGTAGGTAGGTACTCGTAGTAATTATATAAGAATAATACATATTTATAACATTCACACATAAATCCATATCTTTTTATTATTTTTGAGGGTTAAAATCATCAAATGTCTTCGCGAGAGGTCTTCTAAACCATAGGTGGGGTGACTCTTAAGGCCTAAAAACCTCTCCGTTCTTTCTCCTGCTCCAGGCCGGGGCCTGCATTTGCACACGCAACCAATAGAGTCCTTAGAGAAACTAGGTACGTAAAAGGCTAATGCGTATGCTTTTTTTATGGAATAGGAGGCAAACGAGCAGACGGATCACCTGATGGTAAGCGATCGGCGCCGCCCATGGACACCCGCTACACCAGAGGAGTCATAGGTGCGTTGCCGCCCTTGGATACTCGTAATACCAAAGGATGCGTTGCCGGCCTTTTAACAAGGAGTGCGCTCGTTTCTTGAAGGTTTGAAGGTCGTATCATCGAAGATCATTCCAAAGTTTTGCAGTGCGGGGCAGAAAGTTTCGCTTGCTCCTCTAGTTGCCTACATAAATGCGTTTATGGCTAAAATAATGCTTAAATAATAATCAATCTCAGTTCAAAATCTGTAGATGAAGAGATTTTTGACACTATAGTTGGAGGGAGATTCTGTCAAGAGCAAATCCAAAGATTCTGGTTTGAGTCACACTCCTCAGTCACATCCATGATCCATTCGTTTGTAACACGAAATAAAAAGTGTTCAAACTGTCAATCAGTCCTTCATTGAAGCCAGAGCAACTAACTCCATGGATACTCCTTTTCAATCAGTTTCTCAATTCAATTCTTGAGTAAGTACGAGTTTAATTATATCACTTTTTAGAGCACAATTTATGAGTGTTTCATGTCTTTTCTAGCATCACCGGTTTACCATCCTTTTAAGTTTTTTTCAGTTTCATTTAAAACTAGTATTTAATCAACGTTATTGTACTATAAAACGGAAATATGCGTCCATCGGATGCAATTATTTTGAAACATTAAGAGTAATGATGATGTATAGCCAATTGATTAATCATCATTGACTACATAAATAATAATTGCTAACATTCTAACGTGCGTGCGTTTTACTTAAAAAATCATAGACCAAAGATAGGTGATTTCGAGTGATTTTGTTCCTAATGTAAAAATAAACTTAAATATGTTTTTATTTTTTAACTGGCTTCAAAAAAGGAAAGATTAAAAGTATACCTAGGTACATGTTTTTTTTTAATGTTGTTCGCCGTATTTAAAAAACAATTTTGAATGTTTTTTTTGGCACTAAGTGTCACATGGTGTGGTGTATTCTGCTTAAGATGAGTAGACAATTGCCATAATTAGCCTTAATTAAGCAGGTAATATAGTGAAAACTATCAAAGTCCTTTATTTTTTTATGGTAAAAGATGTCAGTAGTGAAATCGATGACTAGCATAGGCGTAGGCATACTACGAGTATTACGTACTTAAGTAACGAAATAAACATTTTTTTTTTCTTTTTGCCATGCTATATCATCATTTTGTGACTTCTTTGGGAGTGTCTGACTCTTACTGATTAAAAACCAACGATGTTCCTTCTTCTACTGGGGCTGCGGCACATAATTGCGTAAGCTTGCACTTAGCTTACCTAAATGCACAAAGAAAGAAATCGTGCTGATTTAACCCACAAATCTGTAGATAACACAGTTGCATTGCATTAGTAACATCCGCATCCGCACAAAAAATCTCTGAATTCATGCAAACTTGACACGACTGACGCGAAAACAAATTCGCACGAATTTCATTAGGTATTTGGTAAGAGTATTATGACAATTAATACCATCGGTTCCTTTACGCATTCATTCATTCATCATGGACACCCGCAATGGAGAAGTTACGAGTGCGTTGCCGACCGTTTAGGGATTAGGGATTTGGAGATTTAGGGATTGGGGGAGGGGAAGAATTGGGCCTTCGGTAACCTCAGACACGGTGAACGCAACGTGTGGTTGTTTCACGCCGGTTTGATGTGAGGCCGTGGTACCTCTCCGGTCGAGCTGACCCATTCGTGCCGAAGCATGGCGCTCCCATTTTTTATGGTTTATGTCGTAGGTTACTGCGTTTACAAATTATACAATTCACATCGAGACCTCAAAGACTTTTTCGGTGATCACACAAAAAAAAAACAATTTTCCTTTACGGGACTTGCGAGCTAAAGCACTGGGCCAGCTTTAGTAAACAAAAATGATCTATTCAAACAGAGGTCACTTTATTTATAAAAATTATGTTTGCCATTAGTGTATAACTTACTACGCAATGTAACACAAAAAAAACACAATACCTACGTACTAAATAGTGCTAATTAATATATTCCCAAGCAAACATTTAAAACACGATAAATCATTTATTTCGATACTTTTAATATTCATACATCGCGTTCGCATGTACAACAAACTTTATAGACATTATTATGTAATCATAAATTCATATACATAGAATAGGTATTTGTAGGTAAATGATACTCCTCATTTTGCAATACCTACTTACTTATTACGTATCATTAAATTATAGAAATTTAACCTTCACAACTATGATCCATGATAGACGTGCTATACAGGATTTATATTTGATGATTTGATTTATTAAGTAACAATATGATTTAGTTTTGTATAACTTTTAATTATTCTTGTAAACATCATTCATTTTTGACAGCTCCCTGTCAGTCCCTGCGTCCCTGATATTAGGGTGATTTATGTAAACTGGCAACACAGGGTGGTTCGATTTTTAAAATATATCACCAATTTAACGCTCCTCTCAAATGTGGTTACGACAGATATAGGACCTACTACTAAAGACCATGCAAGAAAATATTATCATAGATCGTTTTTAAGGTGCATCTTCTTAAAGATATAAAAACTTAACTTAAGTTTTTACATACTTTGTGGGTGTTTTTTGTTAAAATCAGAAATCCCCGGACGTCCATCACTCACATTCCTAACACTTATAAGAACTTCAAATAAATATACCGTGTAAAAAATATAGTTGATTGCCATTATTTTGTATTTTATCAGTAACAGAATATCATCATAAGTTCTAGTCACTAGAGCAAGGCTTTCCTGTCTAAAAGAAGACTCCAAAAGTCGAACTCCAATTGTCAAGATCTTACTTAAGTCAGAAAATACCAAAATGACATAAATAACTTAAGTTACAAATTCCAAAATTCTTATCCGATTCGCTTATCATATATCACAGTAGTAGATACACAATCCTACAACTATTAACACAACCAGAACTAATCCTCAATGGACGAAAACCAGTTATAGTTAGCATACATCACGTCACTACCCATATTTTCTTTCACACAAAGAATGTAGCACAGGCAAATAATCCGCACATTGCAAACGCAATCAAAACTAGTTATTGCAACGCATTCGGTCAGGTGATCAGGTCGAACGGTTACCTGTTAACCAGTGCTGAAAGCAACGTAACTCCTATCACGGAATTCACTAATTGCAAACTTAATTAGGTGAAATTTGGCTGTACGCAATACTTCCTTAGTCTAACAAGAAAAGTTATGCGGATTGTTTATTCTTTTTTGCGAGCCTGCTCGCTGGCCATTCATTTAAAATTTTAAAATTTGAAATTCGAATTTCTAATTTAGATTTTATACCTGTGGCTTATGATTGCAGTCGGTTGAATAATGGGTTTTCAAGCCAGAAAGTAATGTTAAATATTTGTATTTTGACAGTTAACTTATGTAAATATCGTAAAACATAGCTGCAC